GAAGCTTAAGGATGGGATGGCAGTCCACAGAGACTTTAATGAAGAAAGGATTGCAGTGCTGTCATTGCTAGGACAAACAGTGGTTGAAAAACCAAATTTTTCAGAAGTATGAACAAATTGTGGAATTCTTGCTGATAGAATTTATGATAAAATTTCTGAAAGCCATGGTTATTTTGTACTCTTTGAAAAAAAATGTTTGATGTTTGCAGACCTTCCTGATTGAAATTGATTGTTTAAAATCATGTTCACCGCAGTTGCAAATTTGTTCAAAAATTAAATTAAAAGAGCCTTCAAATCTTTTCTTTGAATGCGTAGTTCCACAAAAATCCTATATCAGGTGAATTAGCGCCTTTGGCTGACACTCCATTTCTAGTTCGTACAATTTTAAGCATTTTATTCATCTTCACAATATTCTACAACATTGAAAGCAAGATCATATCTCTCCTAAGGCTATGGTAATTACCTATAATCGATCCTTTATGTTCTCTTTGAGATTTTGGTGGAAAACATTAGAGCATAAGATTCAGCCTGTATCACCTACTGAATGGAACACTCTTAAAGCAGTCGGCATTCTTAAATCTACTCGAGGTAAGCGTGGCGGACTTAACCACCAAAGGAAACATGACTCGCCTAATTTCTACAATCTCTTCAAGCCCTAACTGTTTTGCTTGGACTTTGGCTAGAAACCAAAATGCTTCCAACCCTGGAAACTAATTAGATATTCAGAAACAACCTGACTTTGAACTAAGTATAAACAACTACTCTCGTGGGAGCCCAATTTGCACAGTTAATTTTGGACCTGATACCCCAATAAAACAAAGTATCCCGACTTGCATATACAAAAGATCGTCAAATTCTGGTATACGGAAATCAAATCACAATACACCGACTTAATTACCATAAAGAGAAACCAGCTCAACAGACAACAATTGAAGCTACCAAACCATGTTGGTCAAACCAAACAGATAAAAATTGCTCATCTAAATGTGGAGTCGCTAAAAAACAGGGTCCATTTCACTGAAATTCAAGAATTGTCACAAGTTAATGACTATGATATTCTCTCATTTTCTGAAAACTGGTTTAATTCTTCGGTTACCAACGCTAGTGTTCATTTAGAGGGCTACAAGTTGTTTAGACTTCACAGACCTCAGACCAGAGAGAAAACTCAGGGAGGTGGCATTTGTGCATATGTTAAAACTACTCTAAAGAACAAACAACCAAAGGAACTCACTGGATTGTCTGATTCAGGAGTGCACCAGCTTTGGCTAATGATACAACAGTGAAGACTGAAATCTGTACTGGTTTGTGTTGCTTATAGGCCTCCTGATGTCCCAGTTAAATTTATAGAAGAAGATAATAATAATAATAATAATAATCTAAGCTTATAAAGCGCTTATAAAACTTTTTCTAAGCGCAAATAAAAAGGTAAAAATGAAGATATTAAGAAAGTTAAAATAGAGTTACAGATCATAAGTTTGTTTAAAAAGGAAGGTTTTGAGAGCAGTTTTAAAATTGTCAAGTGAAGAAATGTCTCTGATTGAAGATGGCAGTGAATTCCATAGAAAAGGTCCAGTAACACTAAAAGAACGATAACCATAACTTTTAAGATTGACTTGGAAGACAGTAACAGTTGAGACGACGAACGAAGACAACGAGAAGGACGATAGTTTTTAAGCATATCTTGAACATAAATAGGAGCCAGGCCATGAAGAGCTTTAAAAGTCAGAAGGAGAATTTTAAACTTGATACGTGCGGAGACAGGAAGCCAGTGAAGATTGATAAGCAGAGGTGTAATGTGGTCATGATCTTATGCCCTCCTACATCAAGACTCTTTCGTTCAATAAGGACATGATTTTAACAGGTGACCTAAATTGCAACACATGCTCCCTGAAAATAATGACAGCGAAGGGAAAGCCTTGTTATCATTTTGCATGAAAGTGAATGGAACACAACTGATCAAAAAACCTACCAGAGTGACCAGGACATCAAAAACGCTGTATAGACGTTATTGTGGTTTCAAATAACAATCTTGTCAAATCAAGTGACTTTGTTCAATCATCAATAAGTGATCACTATTTGGTCTCTGAATCTAAAGATTCCTAAGCCTCCAATAACCTCCATCACTACTTGCAGTTTTAAAAAGTATAAAGCACATAATTTGGACTTACGAGCTCCCTATTGTATTAATCCTAACACACTGGAAATATCGGAGGAGGAGCAGTTCCATTTCCGACCAGTAAGGCCGGATGAAGTTAGCTAGTCCCATCAGTGTGGTAACAGGAAGTTACACTCCACTGAGACCCTGGTAAGGACTTTTTGTGTCAGACAACATCTTCAGAGCAATGGATAACAAAAAGGTGACACTCATGGTAATAATTGACTTGAGCAAAGCATTTGATAGTATTAGTCATTCAATGCTTCTCAATAAGCTCTGTAATCTAGGAACATCTGCTAATGCCTTGAAATGGTTTGAATCCTACCTTTCTGATAGACAACAGACAACTCGTATAGGCTCTTCGCTATCATCTCCTCTCACAGTCACCCATGGAGTACCACAAGGATCTATACTGGGCCCTGTGTTGTTTAATTTATATGTTAACGACCTTCCTAAGGCAGTCAAACATTGTGAAGTAGAGTCTTATGACGATGATATGAAATTATATATCTCATTATCTCCAAAAGACATTGAAGATGGTMTGTCACATGYCTCGGAAGATCTCTGGCGTGTCGCGGCATGGTGCTGTGCGCATTCTCTTCTTATCAATCCTGACAAAACTAAGATCATGCTATTTTGAGTTCCCCAGAACATTTATCATATACCAGATATTTCCATCGAGTTCCTGGGACAGCAACTAAGACCTGCCTCATCATGCAAGGACCTGGGGATAGTATTAGATCCTAGTTTGTCATTTAACGATCATATAAGTAACTTAACTTCATCGCTCTTGGCTTCTCTATGTCAAATAAGTAGAGTCAAACATCTTTTTCCCAAGGACACACTACACATGGTTCTTAACCCACTTATTTTCAGTAAATTATTTTACTGTTCCACAGTATGGTCAGGTACTTCTAAACGGAACATTCAGAAACTGCAACTTATCCAGAACTTTGTGGCACAGATTCCCACAGGGGCTAGGAAATACGATCACATAACACCAGCACTTAAAGATCTAGGCTGGCTTTGCGAATCCGCGACRTCACTATGGTATTCAAGTGCATTAATGAGTTAGTGCCTGCTTACCTATCTGGAAAGATATCTAACTGTTCTCAAGTACATAGTTATAACACTAGACGTAACAGTGACCTTAACATCCCATTTTGTTGTACGAAAACTGCACAACAGTCATTTTTCTATCATGCAATAAAGACCTTCAACTCTTTAAGTCTACAAACGCGAAATGCGAATTCATTAAGAGGAGTTCAAGAGACATGCGAGACTAGAATTACAAGTATAATTACAGAATATTATGTATTATAGATAATTTTATTAATTTATTACTACATTGGTGTAGTTGAGATGAAGAAGGCTTGTYGTTGTAACTCCTAAAACTTCTGCAAAACGAGGTTTTTTGCTCTTTTTTCTTGAAAATCTTCCTTGTTATCTTTTTCTTTTTTGACTTCCATATCAATTTCAAATTGGGTAATCCATATGCAGATTACCTACAACGTAGAACTGTAGACTAAAAGCGCTAGAAATTGAGAGTATTGTGTTTTTTTTCGCTACCCAGGGAGCAACCCGTGACTTTACCGGCGAAATAGAGCATAGATTTTTCTAGGCTTTCAGCCAATCAGAGTGTGTGTACTATCTAAGTTATATTATAAAGGTCGGTAAACCAGTTCCCTCTCTTTTATGCAACATCCTCTGTTATTCATTCAAACTCTTTCCCTTCTTTGTTGCATGGCAGCTGCATTGCATTGCAGATTCCCCCTGAAAATACTGATTAAAACTCCCCAGCTTTTCCAGAATTAAGACCCTGGTTTTGGCTATTGTGAGCATGCAAAATTCCTGTTGATCATAAACACCCTCAACATGCTCCCATATCTGATTTGTCCATGGAGCATGCTCCCTCGTATTGAATAAGGCCAGAAGACACTAGAGAGCGATAGCGAAATAATGTTGCACAACCAAACTAAAAATCTCTTCTAGAACTCATTAATAATTCATGAGCTATTAGTCCAATGAGCATCGAACTATTGGGTCACATGATGGGCCTTTATATCCCGATAAAGCACTGATGTTTTATTAATCAGTTCTATATCAGATATATAGAACTGATGTTTTATTAATCAGTTCTATATCAGATATAAAGAACTGATGTTCAAGGTTATAATCGCTTTATCGCAACCTAACACTAGCAAAGGTCTCAGTTTTAATGTCGCATCATAGACCTTTGCTAGGTTTTAAATCAGTTTGAATCAATATGCAGACATGCAGTATAGCATAGACTAGCCGTTCTTACATGTGGGATCAAAATTCTTTCAATTGTGGCAAATGCACATGCTCAGTAGAAGTTTAATATGCATTATCACATTTTTCRCATTTTTTAGCTTTTTTTCTAAAATGATAACAATTTCTGGATGTTAAAGTTCCAGAAGTAGTATAAAGAACTCAAGAGTGTGTTTTATCGGGACTAAAGATCCTCGCCTTCRGCTCGGATCTTTATCACCCGATAAAACACACTCTTTCGTTCTTTATACACTACATAGCATACATGTAATTATGCAACCATACTTTATTGACATAATTTATGAATAACAAGTTGTTTAGAGATTGAAGTGAAACTTATATCGGTATTATCTAAAAAAATTATATAATGCCTAGTGTATTGCTTTGCTTACATGTATAAAGATATATATTAAAAAAAACAAAAAAAAAAACACTCAGTTTGCTGAAGAAGGCCGAAGTGCCGAAATGTTCATTAAAAAGTAGAAAACCTAGTTACAAGTTGCGTGGCTTTTTCTTCATTTATTCTATTGATATATATTAATATATGTACAAAGGACAGGAATCTAAAAAACATTAGAATTAAATTTTTACAGAACCTTATTATTCTTTTACAGCTCCTTATGTTTATGAGATGGTATCTTAAAATGGACTCTACCTACTGTAAAGTTATTCAAACACAAGAGCAGGCAACTTTATCATGAAATATTTTATCATGGTTTTATATTCTGTCATTGAAGATCTCAAGATGTTCTAGTGTATATAACATTTGTTTTTCTTTTTAATAAACCCAATTTAAAAAAAAAACGTCTATATTTATTTTATTTGCGATGTGAATATTATAAATGATAAAAACATCATTCTGTAGGAGATAAAAAACTATAAAACCAAACCCCTGTAAGTTTGAGTCCAGAAATTTTTATTGCATCTGGTCTTGAGCTTGAACGTTTAGGTCTACTGAAGTTTCAGTTGTTGAATTTATGGTGGTCCATGAATAGTTGTCCATTATCACTRAGTTACAGTAGACTAGTAGACTGGGCTGAAAACTAACRAACAAATCTTAAAGTGCAAATAAATAGAACTGAGAGCCCTTGTCCTATACCTTTTTTGGACTGRTCTCCTAGCACTTTTAGAGTTGTATTTATTAGATGTCAGCCCAGTCTAGTTGGCTGTAACTCAGTCATAATAACAATAACAAATAAGCCATGAATTGTAATGAATTTAATAGTAATGATAGTCTTTATTTATCATTTGATTGCTTCTAAAATATTATAAATAGTGAAAAGTAATCCTGTGTTGGCCTTGTCTTGTGATTGTCGTAGAGCATGAGTGAACCTCTGCAGTGGCCAGTATGGTTTATGTATGTAAGGTCCTTTTCACAGAAAATCTAAAATACTGTCACAGTATTCCACTGTCATGATACTTGCTACTTATTTATTTACAAAGGTCTCATCAGTAATTTTAAAATTAGCCACTTAATCATTGCTTCAGCTACTACAGAAAGCATTAAACTGCATACACTACATACTGCATGTTAATTAACTGTGTTGCAATGTGTCTTTCATTGAAGTTATCTATAACTTACTGTACAGGTTGAGCTGTTATTATGAAGTCACTATGAAACCACAAAAACTCTTTGAAGAGCAAAAGAACTACTGACATTGCATTTCAGAATACTCTATCTTTCAGTATTCAACGTTTGGCTGTGTKTATATATGCAGTTAATTTATGTTTAAGTGGTTCTAATATTCAAGTGGTTCTAGGCTATTCATTTAAAGGTGTCATCAACATCATTATGCGCAGTATACATGTACACGTGCTCGAAGAGTGTTCACCATCTTTCTCATGTTTCCTCAGACTGCAAGAATGCCACTCTTGCTTCATCATCACAATCGGAGCTGTTGACAAAACAAAACAAATACAATAATAAATTCATCATTAAAAGTGCTATTAATAGTACATTTTAGAGTGAACGCACTTAATYCGTGCAACTGTACAAAATCTAAGTAGTACTAATTTGTACTAAAAGTGGACCTGAAGCAAGACGGTATTGAATGCTTCATTTGTATTATTCAATTTAATTTGCGTATGGCATGCACGATTTACTAAATACAACTAAACATCACTATATTTAGTTTGTACAGTTGCACGAATTAAGTGCGATCACTCTATAATTCATTTCTTGAATTTATTTGTGTTTCCTGTTTGTGTATACATAATCTAAATTTAATGCAATGTATTTCAGTTCAAGGGCTTTATCCAAATTTTCTGTAATGATCCAATAAATTATTCATGAAGTGGCTTTCATCTATAGAAATTCTGATCCCCAAAATCAAGCACTAGTTACAGAGCCAAAAATTACTAATAGTTTGTGTTAGAGTACAAACACTAAAACTGTGCAACATAAATACCACTAAATACTGCAGCTAAATTATGCTAATTCTATTGTTTAATTCACTATTTTGTAGTAAATAGTGGAAAGTGTTGCACACATTTAATGTTTGTACTCTAATTGTTTTTTACAGTGCGAATGGAAAGTGGCCTGTGACAGAMTAGAAATATTTCGGGAATATGTATTGTTAAATTTGACCAATCGTAAGCGAAATCTGATTTTAAATATTCTGTGACATAGAACTTGATATTAATATTTCATCTCTTTTTAGAGTGGACATACTAAATCCGTGAAACAAATAGTACTAATTAATAATAAATAGTGTTAATTAGACAATAAAATACAAAGGAGTTCAGCTTATTTACAATTATTATATACTATTTAACTTTCACGGATTAAGTGAGTTCACTCTAGAGACTTTATAATGTGTGCATCAATATTTCATGTATGAGTTTTGTTCTGAAGAGCTGCTGATGAGAGAGGCAAGAGTCAGACATATAGAACACTTTAAATTGTTGCCAGTAACACAATTGATCAATTATTATAGTATAACAGAGAGAAAGAAAGCTTATATATGTGTGAATAAAATAAATTAAAAAAAGTGAGTCTGCAGTTTCTGTGATGCTCAAATTCAAGAAATACTGATGAAGTGAAGTGCCTCTCCAACTCTTGGGAAAACTGTTAAAAACTACCCAACTGTCCCATCTTTGCACTTACTTTTTATGTAATGGCATACTAACAACTCTCTTGAATTCATTTTTCTTTTTCTTACTAAAGCAATAAACTGAGCATGTGATGAGAACTGTCAAGAATGCAGATATGCCAAGAATTATCCCAATCCAATGTTTCTCTGCAATTGCTGCTGTTGAATTACACCAAATAAAATAGTTTAATAAGTGTGGTTTGTGTTATATTTAATTATTTTTAACAGCACAACTGCATGCAGTATTCTAAATTGTGGCTTACTAGTATAAAAGTATGAAATTCAACAATCTTGATCCTTATTGGTAAATTTTCCTATAATACCCTATAAAGTTAGGTGCTCAATTTTCAATCGATCAATGAAACTATTTAAACATGGAAATCATCAATCAAAATCTTAAAATACATTAAAACTTACATGAATGCCATGGGGAACCCGTGCAATATTAAAAAAAAACATTTTTAATTGTTATCGTGGAGGTCACACAGGGCAGTAAACCTGCTTGGTTTAAGTGCATCAATCTATAGTTATCTAAAATTAGGGAAAATGCATAAGGCTGTCTCAATTGAACCCTATCAATTATGTCCAAAAAATATACACCTCACTGAAAATAATGTTGGGTCCTAAAAAAGTTAGATATCAGAAGCTAACTGCGAAGTGGATTTTTAAAGTACTCAGAAATTCATTATTAATTTTAATGAAATTTGTTACATAATTGGTATCACTAGTAGAGAAGATCATTTTGTTCAATACAGGTATAGTCTTGGCACAGAAATGCTATTACACTTTGTTTTTATACTCGTAATCTTTGACTTGGTTTTTGAACAATATATATTACGCTTTACCAAATTGTGTACAAAGGAAAGGGCAGCCCAATTAAAGAGGACAGTTAAGTACTGATTGTATGAGCAAACTACAGTATAGTCAAGATAGAAACTTGATTGCTCTTACATGTAAGGGTGACATTGGTCTTTGAAACTAGATTTGTCTTTAGGCAATCCACCTTTTCTGAGAAAAACACATTCGGTGTCTATTTTTCACCATACATATACAGTCAACAATGAAGCTGCCATGAAATGCCAAGAAATACTGTACCTGCATAATTAAGAGCGTTTTTGTCATTTTGCTTGTTTTCTTTGCTGTTGGGGATTTTTTTGAAGAAGCGTACATGTTCAACTGCTGTGAATGCATCTTGAACTGCATTGACACTATTCAAACTTTTCATTTTCTTTTCCCATTTTCTTTTTTTGCTACCATCATCGTTACCTTGAGAACCAAAAACAACCATCTGGCCTCTCTATAGATTAAATCACAAATGGTATAAACCTTCCAATTTTGCATAGAATTCTACTTGCAGTAAAACACCCTGAGAAACATATGCATTTATAGATATAATATATTATACAGTAATTATGCAGAAATTATGTATTGATCATTTTGACTCATATTCCAAGTATATATATTAACTGTAAACTATAAAAGAAATTGTGGGATATCATCACCAATATTTTTTGAAGTTGCCTAGCAATAGTACTTTCTGAAAATAATATTGTGATGATATACCATAATTTCATATATATTTTATATACAGCCTTTTGCAAAAATTATGAGAATTGTCTAAATGTCTAAATATCATAATATCCATATCCATATATTGTCCAGAACACGCGGGTTTGCTAGAATAATTCATTGTTGACATCGAGAAAATGTTCAGAACTACGGATAWGTCCGTCACCRCCGAAAAAAACTAAACTACAAAGACAAAGGACAAACGGGAATCGCGTGGGATTACCCATCATGCAATTGATATTATGATATTTAGATATTTCGACAATTCTCATAATTTTTGCAAAAGGCTGTATACTTGAATATGAGCAAAAAAGATCACAAATTTCATAGTGCTCATCAAGACAATCATAAAAATAAGAATTCAAATTTTATTTAAAAATAATTAGCAGGTTCACCTATTTTAAGAAAACCAATATCTTGTGTGATTGAAGWATTATTTTTACCTTGATCTCTAAATCATTATTTGTTTTTAATGGCCTCCACACTATGGCTTTCAATGTGATCGTTTTTTTGTCATAGGCCGATAACCCTAAATGGACATCAGAGGGTTCTTCTKTTTGTAGAGTTCCTTTTACAATGTTAACTTCCTGTGAAGTAAATTTCATGTTTAAATTTATATATAGTTTGGCATGATGTGATTGGTTGCTGAACAGTGACATTCGAGCCAATGAAGCATTTTATATTCTTTTAGCAAGTTTTGTACTGTTGACTGTTTGCTATTAAAATAATATCAGAAGAAGAGAGAAATACAGGGGCGGATCCAGAAATGTTCAAAAGGGGGGGCCTTCTGCTAAAATGGCGGGAAATTTTTGCAGGAATTTGCCTTTGCCTCATCAAAAAATGACAGTCAAATGTGAAATTGTTTTAAGAGTTTCGTCAATGTTAAATTGTTGCCTTTTTTAGTTATTGTTTTTTTGTTGTTCAGCAAAGGGGGGGGGGGCGCTGCCCCTTCGTCCCCCCTAATTCCACCGCTGAAATATATAACGAACAGTGATAATTATACTTGCAMATCTGGGATTACCAATTTTTGTTTTTTCGTTTGTTTGTTTTYTATTTTCATGGGCTTTCTATGCAAATGTCATGGCAGCCACTCACACGTCTGACACTAATGCACTCAGCCACTATTGTTATCCCAATAACTGTTAAGGGTGTACTGACGTATCCGTTTCTAGACGACCTGGTTGCTATGCTAGCCGATGCTAGCCAATCGGAGAAGCGTGCACGCGCATTTTCATGGCGGGAAAATTTTTACTTCCGGTGGAAAGGTTTTTRTTTACATAAAGTGTATGGCATTATTTAAAAAATATAATCTTCGGTGCGAAACATCAAATGGACGTGTTTTTTCAATATTTATGTTCTTCACAGCCTCGTCTTCAGAACCAAGCATGGGTTTGGCGAAAAATTAAAAAATACGAAAGTTATTGGCATTTTTCGCTTATTTGTGGCATTTAAAMAATCGTAAAAATCTTATTTGGCAATCATTCTAAAAACGCATGCTTGGCTTTACGGACTTAATCTAAAGATTAATTTCATCCATTTTAAATAGTTTAATGTACTTTGCTTGACGACATTATAGCCTTTTTTCGTATTAATGACGTCACGTGATGACCTCATACAATGACGTCATAGAATGTGTTATTTTTGTTTGGGAAGGCTTAATACTCAATACGAAAGCGATTTTACTTTTGTTTGTCATTTTAGAGAACTACTGAATTTCCCTAGCAACGGATATGTCAGTACACCCTTAAGTCATAAATTTAACCACACACAGCACAAAGAGCTATTGAGAATAGAGATATTGACAGCGATATAATGATGCAGGCTCTGAGGATGAATACAATATTGTTTCCAGAAGGACTAAGTTCAGGGACAGATGATGACATATGATAACAAACAATAATAACACTGATTTTCAGTGTATAACTAAAACCTTGTAGTGGAAGAGTGGTGGGGAGATGGATAGATATTTTTTAGTGCATACATGCATGAACTTTTTTTTGGAGGAGGGGGGGGGGACAAATATTTCTATTTAGGATAAGGGGGGTCATTGAAAAAAATATGTGCATTGTATTGGGGCCACTAAAAAAGTTACCTTTGCTGACCTTTGCTAACTATGATCATCCCTCCCCCCATAGATAATGACACCCTTACTGCAAAAGATTGTCAGCAAGGATTAGAAACTCTTAGTTTAGAAGGGTCGACAAATAGATCAGTAAATGAAGTGATAGGAGAGGGTTGCAAGGTTTGGAAATCACATAAACGGTTTGAACCACCAAAAGCGGAAATGCATATGTGTCATGTTTTTCAGTGTAGGGAATATCAGAGAGGCAACTTGTTTTTGCCATGGTTAATTTACATATAACTGAGTTGGCAGAGTGCTATCAAGGTCTATCAACAAAATCGAAACAAAATCTATTTTGATTAACGATCGATACTCACAGTTAAACGCCAGATAGGTCTCTTTCCTTTACTTGCGCCTTTCCAAACAACAAAAGCATCACCCGAAATATCTTCGAAGGAAACCTTTTTAGAAGAATTGATTTGAGGTGCAAACCCAATCATAAACCATCCCTTGTCTGATATTTTCGCCGTGACTGTGAATCGGATTGTACCTTTCGTCGAATTGATGCGCCAACTGAGTTTAAGATCATCGTTTAGTTTTATGTTTCCAGCTTTGCAAATGTTGAAACCAACGCCAGCGATCAGAATACACCAGACAAACGGTACGATCATCGTGCTACAAGTCCATCTATTTATAAATACTTTTAATGTCTTTTTAGACGTAAGCTTATATCAAATATTTTTCAAGAAGGGTATGCTATGCTTTGAGCTGTTTGAAACAAAGGGTGTCGCAGGTTTCCAACTTCCACTTGATTGGCTTTTTTACTGAATTTTCGTCCCTTGAACAGTGTTATAGCGAAGATGTAATGAGCAAAACTCCGACGATAGTTTGAGCATTTACTGTGCATACGTATGCTTTTTATGCAAATTTTATGACTGAAGGGACTGATCTAAATATGAATAATTCAAAACAATTAATCTCAAGGAMTTTACTAGCCTGCTAACAGGCGTTCCTGCTGGGGGCCCGAGAAGGAATGGAACGCCTGTTAGCAGACCTTAGCAGGCTAGGACTTTACACAAAGAATTTTTCGTTTTCCTTATAAATGTTTTTTAATGTTAACCGATTGTGTTTGGACGGTCCATTATAATGGCCCAGCTTAGCCTGGTAAATATTACATGTATCATATGACCCGTATTTCGGCCCTACGCGCGCTCTCACTGAAACCTTTGGAAAATGGTCACGTGATGGGGTCCGTACGCCTTTTCGCGACAGGTCCGTACAAACCCGTATTTTCCCGGCTTGAAGTTCCGCGCGCTTTTATTTATTTTTTTTACATTAAAAAACGCGGTCATATGATAAAATGCTTATTGACTGAGTTAGGTCGGGCCGTACGGGAAAATATTTGGCTCTCGGTCATTTGTACGGACCTCGCTGCGCTCGGTCCGTACGGCATAACCTCGAGCCAAATATTTTCCCGTACGGCCCTCCCACTCAGTCAATAAGTACATAGTTCTATAACACTGCCCGAGGTCTTGACAGTACGGAACGAGCGCAGCGAGGTCCGCACATAAGAGACCGAGGGCAGTGTTTTCCTATACGGACCGACCTATAGCCGGTAAATAACATTTTTATTTTTTTATTTGTATTTTATGCAACTTTGCTCGCAACCTAGCTGCAGGATACCGTCGGACCGGGCAGATCGTGAAAAATCGGACCGCGCGCTAGCCAACCAGAGCGCGCGAATGACTAGGATACCGGACCGAAAAAAAATAGATATTCTGAGTGGGAGGGCCGTACGGGAAAATATTTGTCTCGAGGTTATGCCGTACGGACCGAGCGCAGCGAGGTCCGTACAAATGACCGAGAGCCAAATATTTTCCCGTACGGCCCGACCTAACTCAGTCAATAAGCATTTTATCATATGACCGCGTTTTTTAATGTAAAAAAATAAATAAAAGCGCGCGGAACTTCAAGCCGGGAAAATACGGGTTTGTACGGACCTGTCGCGAAAAGGCGTACGGACCCATCACGTGACCAATTTCCAAAGGTTTCAGTGAGAGCGCGCGTAGGGCCGAAATACGGGTCATATGATAAATGTTATTTTGCCGTCTTGAAGTTCCGCGCGCTTTTATCTTTTTTCCACACATCTTTTCATTAAGGTATCAGGAGGGGTTCACGACCACTACTCACGCAAACTCAAATAACGAGTCGGCTTTGTAAAATACCTCAACAAAAGAACATATTTTTAAAAAGCTAAATAAATGTAGTTTTTGAAAATTATGCCTAAATTTCCATAACTTAAAACGCCATAAAGATATTCCGACGAAAGCGTATTTTGACCGTACATTGTTTGAACTGCGTCAAAATTGTCAGAATTGCTGTCTTAGCAATGAAAACCACGTTAACACTTTCCTGATATATAAAAGTCCAAAACGGTGTCGGCGATTTTTCATCAATGCTTTAGATAAGCCGCTACATGAGTCCTAAATATTGATCATTGAGCAAGATCTCAACAACGAAAGCGAAAATCAAAAATCGCCGACACCGTTTTTTAGTTCAAAATGATTTCTATTCTTGCAAATTTTGAATTTACTTTCATACATGTACATATAGTTACGTCATAGTCACAATATCAAGAGAAAATGAGCTAACTTAGCTCATTYTCTCTTGAGCTAAGCGTATTACAGTGATAAATGTCTAATTAATGAAGTAAACAACCAGAACTTGAACAAACATATCAGTTTTTGACGTGGATATTTTTATTCAAGGCCCAACTCATTGCATATGATAATGGCACTGCCCTTCATGGAGCTTAACGGAATTTTTTGGTGTGATCGCAATGTCCTTTTTGCAAATCTCACACTTCCCATTATGATTGAGATTCTCTGGAAAAGAAAATGAAACAATTGTCTGATTTAAAGTACGCATGTGTGATTTACATGCAGTAACAAATTTGTTTTAAAAATTCACATTATTTCAGATGCTTTTATATTTCATCGAAATGTCAATAATAATAATAATAACAAAAAGAAAATAAAAAAGTGTTACCTTGAAACTTTAACATAACGATTCATAGAGATTCCAGGATATTCTCAGAGCTAGCTTAAACTAGTGATCACAAGTTTTCTCATGTGGYTCATGTGTAAAAATAGTCGTCCGCTTGGTGTGATTGACAACCTGTCATGTCTAGTTTAGTGACATAAGATCTCCATCAAGATTAGTTGGGGCAAAAAGTTTTTAAAATCAATAAAAATACACAAAAAACTTTTAAGCTTAACTTATAAAAAGATTTATTGCAAATCTAATTAGTAAATTATGGGAAGTTATAAGTAGGCAAATGAATATTCATGAAATTAATTCCTGACTAGGCCCTATTTTATAAATGTTTCAAAAACTCATACATAAATTAATGAGTTATTAGGTCAATAGAATGAGCCTATTTGGTCACATGCAATGGACTTTTATATCTGATAAAACACTCCTTATTATAAAAAAGAATACTAATAAGGGTGACCTTTATCAGATGTAAAGGTCCATGACCCTAGCAAAGGTCTCAGGTTTGAAACCTGATCATTGACCAATGCAGGATGTCAACCGATTGCAGTGAACAGCCAACAGCGCTTCTGTTTTATTTATGCGTATTCAATGTGGGATGACAAGAGTGCTTTGTAAAGTGATTCGCGCATGATCAGTTTGCCCTATTTAATATTCTCAGAACATATTTGTATGTCMATTTCTCCAAGAATTTTAACGGATTTGAGTTTCAAATATGAATAAATAAATATCAGTCTTGAACTCACAAGAAGAGACTAAAATACTTTAATTTAATTTATTTTTAGCTTCAAAGTCAAAATAAAGCAATCTTTTTTATGGTGGGAACTAGCGGTAACTAGTGTGAGCTGCGTCGGTGTTTCTAAAGAAACAGTTATGTAAAAAGATAAATTTAACACCGTAAAAAAAGTATGTGAAAAACTTACTGACGTTTCGGACGTTAATCCTTCGTCGGTGTACATAACTGTAATCTTTTTTTTAGCCTCGTTTCCATGCGCACTTCCAATCAACCCAAAAGATTCGCATTTATAACGATGTTCCCCTTATTAGATTTTTATAGACTTTTAATATGYTATTACTCACTTGCTTCTGAGTCTAAAACATTTGAGAAACCTTCTGTTGCAATTTGTTACGGGTTGACCCTTTTTTCTTCTATTCTTGGTGTGCAACCACGTGACCAAGAATCCCTTGCCGCCATGTTGGATGAATGGACAAGAGAAACTAATGAGGAATGCTTTGTGATTTTCATCCAACATGGCGGCGATGACGTAACTTGCACTCCAAGAATTTTGATTGGGCTATTATTAGGATGCTTTTACTGTAAAATACCCGATGAAAATTTGCTATGTTTGGGCAGCCTGTGGTCAATCTAATAGTCACTAGTTCTCCTCGATTTATGTAAATTATTGAGAAAGAGAGATCGGTGTAAATTTGTCCGGTGTAGACGCCTAATATGAAAAAACGAGGTAGAAAATGTAAATTTTTCAGTGCTTCCGGATAATTTGTGTTTTCTTCAGGATCTTCTCTAGTGTGCCAGATCTTTTTAACTCAAAATGAGTGACATGGAAACCGACGAGGAAAAGAAAGATGAAGTCTATTCTAGTGGTGAAGAAGGTGCTCAAACTGTCATGTCCGAACGAGTGTCGAACATGGCCAACAGCATTTACAGCGAATTTGAGCGAATGATACAGAAATACGACCAAGATGTGGTATCAGGGCTTATGCCATTAATGGTATCAGTGTTGGAGCAGCTCGACAGTGCTTACAGTGACAACAACGAACAACTTCTGGAGCTGGAAATGCTTAGTGACGATAACGAGCAACTAATAACACARTACGAAAGAGAGAAGCAGTTAAGAAAGCTGGCCGAAAAGGTATTCAGCTTTGCATTTTTAATTCTAAGGTTTTTCTCAGACTGGGGCTATGTAGTTTTGATATATAAGTTTACCGGCATTAAATTAAGGCACAAGACCAAAAAATCGTTTCAGTTCAGTGAGTACTTTTATAAATAAGCCTAGACTTACAATATGTTTGATGAAGACAATTTTATTATCTTCAACAAATGTGAAATGGGAAAAATCCTGCTAAGGCGTTCTCTAATTATTATTCACACGTGGGAGTAGTATTCGTGTAAACTTAAGTGAAAGGTGTTGGCTTCTGCTGGCTACATTTTATGATTATTCGTTTTTTCCCTTCGTTTGTATCAGAGTCTTCATTCTCGTCGCTGATCGACTCAGATTTTCGACATAATATCTGTTGACATGGCAGAGATTTCTTCTCGTACCATACGCTCCAAAATGTCAAATTTTTAACCCACCAAAAATTATTCTCGATGCTTATGATGACGATGACAAGACTCAGATATTTAAGTTTGATTGACCATAGTAAATTTTTCTCTTCAAAACTGCTTTTATTGATCATTTTATTTTGGTTATAATTTTTTTTGAATTATGTTCAATTAAATGAAGTTAGTCAATGCTGGTTATTCACCCACAGTCTCATCACAATATACATATACAGTATCAAAGAAGTTAATGACAGCTTCGCCAAAAATAAATGTTTGGCTTTCAGAAAAATAATCCMTATCTCACTGAATGAAAGCACAGTCTGTTGACAGAGATGGGTTTAATGTAAGACTATGTTCACACGTCAAGTGTGAGGATACCTCGGTTTTAGGAAAGTTCCCACTGTCCACATGGAACCGTCCACATTTCGGTACAGATTGAAACAGTGTTCACACGGAACCGTTCATGCTTCGAAGTTACCTGTCCTCAAAGTGGAACAGCTTTTTAGCCAGCCCCAAACCTGACCACTTGGCCAGCCTCAGATGAGGGCAGTTCCWGGGTTCCAGTGTGAACGCACGTCTAAACTAGGCTCCGAACGGAAATGGCCCCATGTGAAACGAGCCTAAGACTGGGCACATGGTCATAATGCTGATCTGTGATGTTGTCTTGCCTTCCAATGTGTCCCCTCTGTAACATACACAATACTGCTACCCWGTTTTGTGAAAGTATTGTTGTTTGAAGATATTTATTTGTATTTTCAGAGATACCTAGAAATAGAGGATCAAGTGGAAGCAGATCAACGTAATGTCGAAAATAATATTGATGCTTTAACTCACGAAAATAAGGGCTTGGAAAACAGGGTGAAGAGCTACCAAGACCATGGTAATAATTCTATTGAGATACATGACTTAATATCAGGGACTGGTCAAAATTTAGAGGGGGAGGGCAGAGGAGGAGGGTTGGTGCAAATGGTAGAAGGGTCATTATATTTAATGCGTTATAAACGGGAGGGCCAGAAAGATTTGAGCAAGTCTTTAAGGGGAGGGCCAAAATTTTTTTGTGCAAAGAAAGCAATAATCCTGTCAAAGTACATCAAACAGGGTCCGTGCAGGTCCTTAAATCCTTGAAAAGTGCTTGAATTGAAAACTAGTTTTCAAGGGCACTTGAAACTCCTTGAAAATTTGAAAATTTCAAAAAAAGTCCTTGAAAACTCTTTGAAAAAGATGGATCTCTATCACGAAGCGCTAGCGATCTCTGAATTATTCCGTTTGGCTGAAATTTTGAGGTAAGAATGTACAATTAGCATGATTTTGATGCCCCTTGAAAATAAAATTTTGGTCCTTGAAAAAGTCCTTGAAAAGTCCTTAAATTTCATTTTTGATACACTGCACGGACCCTGATCAAACATTTAAAACAATCCAATAATGTTTATTTCATTTTTCAAGTCAGCAGTTTTTAAAGCTTGTATAWACACAACAAATAAACAGTTGATTCTAAATAATCGTATAATCAATTATATGTAATTTTGTTAMATTCATTGTTTTTATAATAAGCAAATAACCTGTTATTGAAACTATGAGCTTTCTGTATCCCACCACTGCTATCACCACTGCTATTGGTACTTTCTTCATTCAAGAGTCTTGGAATATGATGTTTTATGGTAGACAATGCAGTATCAGAAATATTTCCATTTTCAGCAATTTCTTCAAGTGCGTCAAACTAAYGTTTAGGGACCGGTCAAAATATTGAAGTCCGCTTCAGAGATGCAGAGCTCATCAATCTCCAGGAGATTCTGCACAAAATGAGGCAGAGAGGACTAATGCATCCATCAGAGAGGCTATAGTAAATGGTACATTAGAAGCAACAAATTCCAGGATACAATTACATTAAGAAAATATATACATTTATTGAGGATCATTTTGTAATTGGAGAGATGTTTCTTGAATACTTAAAGGGTTTGTGTTCAAAGAAATCAACACATCCTGGAACTCTTTGTCATTTTTGTAAATCTAAAGGAAAATGTTGTGTGGGGATTGATCGTGTACCCATTGTCAGATAATAATAAAAGTCTTGGTTGTGTGACACTACAACCACCAACTGACTCGTTGACTATTATATACCAAGGAAGAAATTAAAAAATGCCTTTGTTTCAGGTGAATGCTCTCTAGATGATCCAAACTCGATTCTGAATTTAAGTAAAAAGTTTKTAGTCTCTGAAGGATGCGTAAAGAGCTATCTTGAACTCTTAAAATTGCTCGATCTGAGGAAAGAAAAAATGAAAAGGAACAAAAAGCAGGAGAACTGAAAAAGTAGAACACACGTACAAAACAGCAACTGGATTTCTATGCTTGATGATGGCTCTTTGTGCAAGCAAAAAGTGGCTGTTCTAGAAAAGTACCTAATATTTCATCACCTAGAGTGCCAGGGTAAAAAAATGTCAAGCTAAATAGAGTTCAGAGACATATAACACACAACCTACTTGCAGTGGAACAAAATAGTAAGATATGCTCTCTGATGCTGTGACCACTCATTGTCCCGGTTAAGGGGATTAAGATATGGGAGACGCGATTCCGGAGACATGAGTGGTGAATAACATGCGAAGTAGAGGTGTATGTCGCCGAAGGGGAGGTGGAAGGGACACAGTATGCTAGATTTGCCTACCGGCTTAATATGCGAGAAAGACGACGAGGCAAGCTTGGCAATGGTTTAAATGCCTTTTGCAAGTCCCGTGGGATAACATTGCATGCCCTCGTGTGTAAAGATCTTGAATTTTAACACAGGATTGGGAAATCGTGGTCATATCATCAGTGAGAATAGTAAGATATACTCTCTGATGCTGTGACCACTCATTGTCCCGGTTAAGGGAATTAAGATGTGAGAGGCGYGATTCACTCTGACGTGCAGCTTTGCCTAATCAGGTCACACAGCAAATCTGCACTGAGACATATCAACTTTCAAACATCTTTAATTAGTGAAGCTCCCTCTCCATAACTCAACAATGATCCAAACCCTCCCCCATCCCCGATTTCKCTATTTGAAGGACAATTCCCAGTTTCTAAGCTCATTGTTTGCCTGGAAGGACTGTTGAAGTAAAGTGGCTTGGGGAGAGGTTTCTCCTGCTGGCGTTGTTGCAGTCGCAAGTGCTGATGCAGTCTTTCCAGAGCCCATGACTTTAATACTCTGCTGTGGCAACAGACTTCCATCCCACATGCTTAGTGACCTCTTCTGGTGAAACGGCAAGGAGTGTAGGGTTATTGTACAGCCATTACGGAAACTATGTGCGTACTCGCCCTCGTAAAGGTTTAACAACTTTAAGTGTAGAGACAAGGGATTGCCTACCGTTAAGTCCATAAAAGGTGAATCGGAGACTAAACCTTTCTTGTCTGTAACCTGGAAAAGATATCAATCTCTTAAATTGATAGCCATCAGATCACAGATGCTGGCCTAGAGTTTAATATTTGCAACCGGGCACACTGTAGGGTTTTCACACCTTTTCATCTTGAAAACGTTCTCTCAGGGTTTTTTCAGAGAAACTGCATGTCTGCCGAAGTGAGGWCTTCTTCAGTAAAAACGCACCCCAGGTCYGAGGCTCTATCACTGGCATAAAAGTCGAGACAGAACAAGGCTAGATCCTTTGTTAATAGGAAGCGAGAGTCAGAGAAATATCATTTTGGAAGGCTTTTCCATGTAAGTGTAGGCCTGGAATAGCCTGCTTGGGAGTGACTCTTGACACGGCTTGTTCCTCCTGTATAGACTTGACGCTCCTATGGGAAGCCGGATTGCCTACACCCAATATGTCGTTCCACTCACCCCCTCGGCCTATGTCCGCAAAAGTGATCTCAGATTACCAATCATGCAATCGACTGTTCCTGCGGCCAGTCTGGATGGGCATGGGCACCTATTGGGATGCTTAGAACCGAACAAAGGGTATGATGGAGTATAAACTTTGGTTTTCCCTGAATTGTCTTTCCACACTAAAAAACGTGTAATGTCATTGGGTGTGGCACTATGTGTGCACCGACTTAGGATGGGGTAACGACCTAAGGAAGTGCTCCAGTTCTACACACAGTTTGGAGATCTGCTTCTGATATGCTTTGTTTTGGCTTGYACTGTGTTTGGCGAGTATTTTTGACAAGTCCAAAGGTAGTTTGGGTACTGGCCTTCTACTGCTGACAGGTTTTCTTAGATAAGCACACCTCTGGAAAAATGAGAAGGTAGAATCATTGGGATACACGCATGGGGAACACTGAATGGCTGGAGTCCAAAGCCTTGGTACCTYGGGTGGGGGCTGAAAAAGACTATGAGCCATAAAGCATTTATGTAAAAGAGAAATTAAACATAACAATTATATTGAAATGGTACGACTTTATTTTGGTTTACCCTTCCATGGGCCAGTTTGTTATGTGCATAAAAACCACATGTCTTAAAGAAAACTTGTAATCATGGGCTAGGTAGGTGATTAATCTTTTGTGTTTGAAATACAGAAGACCCATAAGTCCCAGGTCAGATGGCGCTTTTCCCAACACGTACTGCCAAATTAAGACGGGAAAAGAAGGGTATTAGCGTCTCCTTTTGAGCCGATCTTTAGGGAAGCGATTGGCCAATGAGACAACAAAGGCCACCAGTATCGTCTTGGGCACAGTTCGGGAACCACCATGATGGTAACAACACAAGAGACTGAGACTGCAGGTGCTTAAGAAGTGAACCAATAAGGGTGAACGGCGGAAAAAAAAWKCATTTTCGTGGTTCGTCAACTGCTGAGGTGAACCCAGGCAAGGGAATAGTGGAAAAGAACATCGTCTGGTATAGCCATGAGATCAATTGTGTGTTGGGCAAATGTGGTGTCAATGTGCCACACTGACAGGGAAGGGGTGCAATCCCAGTCAGAGATGGTATGTGAAAGCGAGTCGCAACATTAAGAGTGGATGGAATGAAGTGTACGGCCAATGAAACATTGTTTTCCATTGAGAAGGTAAACAAACTCTTTATGATCCCTGAGATTGCGGGAGACTTGGAGATCTGGTGGTTCCAGCTGTCGACAACAGCCTTGTTGTCTGCGAGGGCATCTACATGTGCGTTACGTAGGTCTACCATTAAGGACATAAGYGTAGAGAGTCCTCGTCCCATTAACCGCGGATTTCCTGGCAGGGAGTGGAGCCTGAAATTTTAAGGAYGACGCCCCAACCTGTGTTTGAGGCGACAGTATGGAGAGTGATGCTCACATGCTTTTCGTCTTTCCACAGAAKGAATCCCAACTGGGTGTCCAAAAAGTGACACTCCATTATTTCATTTCTCAGATGATCCGTCATTTTAATACAGCGCCTGCGTGATTTCCTTTTTGGGGTGCTTGAAATTGCATGGAACACATTGTTGGAAAACAATTTTGCACCAGGGATGAGTAGAGCAAATGATGTTGTCTTTAGAAACACACGCAAAAACACTTAAAACTAGCCCTTAAACTAATCCTGCCCCTTCCATCGTATTCTAACCCTAACCCTAACCACACTTAAATTGTTTACTGGAGGCAAAGGGGAATTTATCCAAAAACCCAGTGTACAGTAAGTTGTAATTTAAGAAACTATAAAATGATATTTGACATTGTTTTTTCCCTTTGAAGTTGAAAGACTAGAAGAGAGAATATCTGAAATGAAGCGACAATATGATAGTCTACATAATAGACATACAGAGGTAATCCAGTCATGAATGAAATTATTATAATTACAGGCACTTTACAACCATCTACTTAGACCTCATGGACAAATTGACTATTAAAAGCTGAATAGGATATTTGCCTTGTAGTCCCTTTTGCCCTGAGGTCTTATTGCGTTAGTTGACCAACATGACAAAATGCTTTTCATACTTTTCATCTGTTCATGGTCTATTATGAAAAGAATATTGTTAGAGAGCCAAACAGGGATTTCTATTGCTTGCTATCAACTTCAAATTGTTATGCTACAGGTTCATTTCTTGGCTGGTTTGTGATTTACTTCTGAATTATGCAATCATGAGAAGTTTCTGTAACGAYGTAGGTTTTATTCTGTTCCTCACGCTTACATATATTTCATGGGTCTAACTCGCCTCCTAAAGCTGGGTGCAATTCACGTTTTCGTACTCCTCGAGCAACTATACTTTTAGCTGGTACCGCGGTCGAACTCTCTGCCACGCACAAAGCGCGACTCCTTAAAAGAGTCTACCAAGGCCCAAGGGACGGTAAATAAACAACTTAACATTTCAAAGCTACCAAATAAGACAGAAAATAAACTTTTCTCTTTTTTATCGCAATTTGCGAACAATTTGCTCAATTTCCGTGCTTTCCGATTTGCGGTGTATGATGCATTTGATCTTGGAGACATAATTGTTAAGATTGATCCATGCATTTCGTACAATCAGTTTATTTAACATGCGGTGTATAATGATTTTTGAGACATAATTGCTAAGATTGATACTAGTAATTGATACTA